TTTTTAGTCCATGCTTTTTAGCCTAGGTTTTTATTGTTTTTTATTGCTTTTATTCTTTTATAATAAAATGTTTTTAATTCGCTTATAATCCAGTGGTCTCCTTTTTAAACCCGGGTCCAAAGAACCTGTTTTTACACATATGACATGACATGACATTGTAAAGTCTAGTCTAAGTCTAAGTCTAAGTCTACAGTAAGTCTAAGTCTACAGTAAGTCTAAGTCTGTTCCTGTGTCTCTGGTTCATATAAAAACACTGAGATCCATAAAGTTGGATTTTGGATCAAACAAAACATACGAGTCACCGCTAGGGGGCGCAGTGGCGTCAGTCCATATTTCATTGATTTAAAAAGACATTTCTATTACTCTTCACACCTGACATTTCTTTATCGTTCTACAGTTTGTCCTCCACAGTCTCTCACTGACAGATATCAAAATGACATGTTTCCGCCCGGTTTCGAACCGGGGACCTTTCGCGTGTGAGGCGAACGTGATAACCACTACACTACGGAAACTGTGTGTACAACGAACTTCTAAAAGACAGAGTGTTTACATCCGCCCCCTGCAGCTGGTCCTCTCCTGATTGGTCACAGCCATAGACTGCTCACTCTATCCTCAGGTCTGGGAATCAGCTGCAGTCATTCCAGTCTTTAAAAATGCAATTACACACCATCAACAACAGACCATCAACAACAGACCTACAGTGTCTAAGGCACTGACAGACCATCAACAACAGACCTACAGTGTCTAAGGCACTGACAGACCATCAACAACAGACCTACAGTGTCTAAGGCACTGACAGACCATCAACAACAGACCTACAGTGTCTAAAGACGCCGGAGCGCTCTGATGCTAACAGTTTGGCTAGCAGCTTGTTGTGTAAAGTTAATAATAATGCAGCTCTGCAGCGTGTCTGTGTCTGAGACCTTCAGACTTTATAAAACAGCAGTGTGTTCACAGTAGCATGAAAACTCACATGTTCACAATGTCCCCCATTGTCAACCCTGGTTTAGTCCTGGTTTAGTCCTGGTTTAGTACTGGTTTAGTCCTGGTTTAGCCCTGGTTTAGCCCTGGTTTAGTCCTGGTTTAGTCCTGGTTTAGTCCTGGTTTAGTCCTGGTTTAGTCCTGGTTTAGTCCTGGTTCAGTCCTGGTTTAGTCCTGGTTTAGTCCTGGTTTAGTCCTGGTTTAGTCCTGGTTTAGTCCTGATGTAGCTCCTTTACAGCCACCCCACTGTGGCTCCTACTGTTCCCAGAGGTCTCCCATCACAGCACTAACCAGGCCCTGTTCAGTTATATATATATTATATATTATATATATAATCTCTCTGTTACACTGAAGCTAATGTCCTCAGGACATTGCGACAGAACGTGGCAGTGTTTGCTCTCTGCAAACAGAGGTCAGAGGTCACACAGACCTGATGACCTCATCTCCCGCTGCCTCCACGTGTCGCTCACTCTGCTCCTGACGTCATCGTCACCACCAGTCTCAGTCCTGGGTCTACAGTCTCAGTCCTGGGTCTACAGTCTCAGTCCTGGGTCTACAGCTTCAGTCCTGGGTCTACAGCCTCAGTCCTGGGTCTACAGTCTCAGTCCTGGGTCTACAGCCTCAGTCCTGGGTCTACAGCCTCAGTCCTGGGTCTACAGCCTCAGTCCTGGGTCTACAGCCTCAGTCCTGGGTCTACAGCCTCAGTCCTGGGTCTACAGTCTCAGTCCTTGGTCTACAGCCTCAGTCCTGGGTCTACAGTCTCAGTCCTGGTTCTACAGTCTCAGTCCTGGTTCTACAGTCTCAGTCCTGGATCATCAAGTCCAGTGGTCCTTCCAGTTGTCAATCATTCTGGTGACACATGTTCGTCCAATCAGAGCAGAGAGTTTGGTTCAAAAAGTGGAGAGGACGGTTCTTTCCTAAAACCATCAAATTGACTGCTCTGGGAGAAAGTTAAAGTGAACCAGACCAAGGGATAGATGGATCAATACTTTATTGATCCCCGAAGGACAGATTCAGGTTTCTAGTAGCAGCAAAAATAAAATTGCTCATTCTAAAAAGCTAATAATATTAATAATCAGCCACAGTCCTTCAGGTCACAGGTTCGGACCATGAATCCTCTCAGCTCTGGTCTGGACCAGTGTAAAACCATGAATCCTCTCTGCTCTGGTCTGGACCAGTGTAAAACCATGAATCCTCTCAGCTCTGGTCTGGACCAGTGTAAAACCATGAATCCTCTCTGCTCTGGTCTGGACCAGTGTAAACCATGAATCCTCTCTGCTCTGGTCTGGACCAGTGTAAAACCATGAATCCTCTCTGCTCTGGTCTGGACCAGTGTAACACCATGAATCCTCTCTGCTCTGGTCTGGACCAGTGTAACACCATGAACACTGAACTGCAGCAACATCTCAGGCAGAAAAAAGCAATACAAATATAAATTAAAAAGCACAGAAGTTTAAAGTGGACATTATCTGTGAAAAGTCCTTCTAATATCAGCTCTGTCCTTTGTGGAGGGGAGGAGAGAGGGGGAGAGAGGGGGAGAGGAGAGAGGGGGAGAGAGGGGGAGAGGAGAGAGGGGGAGAGGAGAGAGGGGGAGAGGAGAGAGGGGGAGAGAGGGGGAGAGGAAAGAGGTGGGGAGAGGAGAGAGGGGGAGAGAGGAGAGAGGAGAGAGGGGGAGAGGAGAGAGGGGGAGAGGAGAGAGGGGGAGAGGGGGAGAGGAGAGAGGAGAGAGGGGGAGAGGAGAGAGGGGGAGAGAGGGGGAGAGGAGAGAGGGGGAGAGGAGAGAGGGGGAGAGGGGGAGAGGGGGAGAGGGGGAGAGGAGAGAGGGAGAGAGGGGGAGAGGAGAGAGGGGGAGAGGAGAGAGGGGGAGAGGAGAGAGGGGAGAGAGGGGGAGAGGAAAGAGGTGGGGAGAGGAGAGAGGGGGAGAGAGGGAGAGAGGAGAGAGGGGGAGAGGAGAGAGGGGGAGAGGAGAGAGGGGGAGAGGGGGAGAGGAGAGAGGAGAGAGGGGGAGAGGAGAGAGGGGGAGAGAGGGGGAGAGGAGAGAGAGGGGGAGAGGAGAGAGGGGGAGAGGGGGAGAGGGGGGGGGAGAGGGGGAGAGGAGAGAGGAGAGAGGGGGAGAGGAGAGAGGGGGAGAGGAGAGAGGGGGAGAGGGGGAGAGGAGAGAGGAGAGAGGGGAGAGGATGAGAGGGGGAGAGAGGGGGAAAGGAGAGAGGGGAGAGGAGAGAGGGGGAGAGGGGGAGAGGAGAGAGGGGGGAGAGGGGAGAGGAGAGAGGGGGAGAGGGGGAGAGGAGAGAGGGGGAGAGGAGAGAGGGGGAGAGAGGGGAGAGGAGAGAGGGGGAGAGGAGAGAGGGGGAGAGAGGGTGAGAGGAGAGAGGGGGAGGAGAGGAGAGGGGGGAGAGGGGGAGAGAGGGGAGAGAGAGAGGGGGAGAGAGGGGGAGAGGAGAGAGGGAGAGGGGGAGAGGATGAGAGGGGGAGAGGAGAGAGGGGGAGAGGAGAGAGGGGGAGAGAGGGGGAGAGGAGAGAGGGGGAGAGGAGAGGAGGGGGAGAGGAGAGAGGGGGATGAGAGAGGGGGTGAGGAGAGAGTGGGGAAAGGAGAGAGGGGAGAGGGGGAGAGGGGGAGAGAGAGAGGGGGAAGAGAGGGGGAGAGAGGGGTAGAGGAGAGAGGGGTGAGAGGAGAGAGGGGGAAGGGGGAGAGGAGAGAGGGGAGGGGGGAGAGGGAGAGGAGGGGGAGAGGATGGGGTGAGGGAGGACTGAGACGGGGGAGCGGAGGGGAGAGGGAGAGAGGGGGAGGGGGGAGAGGAGAGAGGGGGAGGCAGGGTGTGAGGGGGGAGAGGGGAGAGAGGGAGAGGGGGAGGGGGGAGAGGGAGAGAGGGGGAGAGGAGAGGGGAGAGGGAGAGGGGGAGAGGAGAGAGGGGGAGAGGGGTAGAGGAGAGAGGGGGGGAGAGGGGGACGAGAGGGGGGAGAGAGGAGAGAGGGGGAGAGGACGAGGAGGGGAGAGAGGGGAGGGCGAGAGGGGGAGAGGAGAGAGGGGAGGCTAGAGGGGGGTGAGAGGGAGAGAGGGGGAGAGGGGAGAGAGGGGGATGAGGGGGAGAGAGATGGGGAGAGAGGAGTCGAGTGAGTGGGAGCTCTGTTTGAGGGAGGCGTCACTGAGGCCAAATCCTGCAGAGAAGAAAGGTTTTTGTGGAAACTGCTGCAACACTGGAGCACACTGCAGCTGACACCGGGTAAGACTCCACTCTGACCTCTTTACAAGTATTACTAACAGTAGGAATGCAGTAGTAGTAGTAGTAGTAGTAGCAGTAGCAGTAGCAGTAGTAGTAGTAGTAGTATTTTAGACAATGGTGGTAAAATGGATGAATGGAGACATACAGTAAAAGTAGGTCAGTGGGTCAAAAAGCTGAGTCATGTTTAACCGCTTCAGGCCTGACACAGAAAGTCCAAATCTATTCTTCTGTTCTGGACTTTATCACTTTATAGTTATTCATTTTCCATAACTTTAGACTTCTTTATAAAGTCGACTTTTTAGAATAACTCTGTTTAACTGCATCATCTTTCAGCTTCAGTATAACTTTAACTAAGTTAGTTTAACATTTAATTATGTTTATATGTGTATCGCCCTAAATCACAGTAGTTTTAGACCCAGGACTGAGGCTGTAGACCCAGGACTGAGGCTGTAGACCCAGGACTGAGGCTGTAGACCCAGGACTGAGGCTGTAGACCTAGGACTGAGGCTGTAGACCCAGGACTGAGGCTGTAGACCCAGGACTGAGGCTGTAGACCCAGGACTGAGGCTGTAGACCCAGGACTGAGGCTGTAGACCCAGGACTGAGGCTGTAGACCCAGGACTGAGGCTGTAGACCCAGGACTGAGGCTGTAGACCCAGGACTGAGGCTGTAGACCCAGGACTGAGGCTGTAGACCCAGGACTGAGGCTGTAGACCCAGGACTGAGGCTGTAGTTCTGGATATTGTGATGGAACTTAAATGTTGTTTGTGTGTAATGTGTGTTCTGCAGGACCTGAAGATGAACTACACCCTGGACTTCGGCTCGAACAGCTTCCAAACGTTCACCTCCAAAAACACAGAGACCGTGGATCCTTTCCTGGCGGCGGCTCGAATGCTTCGTGGAGGAACGTGGAGCAAAACGTGGCAAACGGCCGACGACAAACCTGTGACTGCGACGTCTGAACCAAAAGAACTGAAAGATCCGCAGCCGTGTGTGCGCAGCGGACACGTGACCACGGACAGAGCCCAGAGACCCAGTGACCAGAGTCCGGTGCGTCTCTGGAGATCCGGAGGTCGACCCAACTCCAGAAGGTTCCGGCGATTCAAAGCCCCTCTGCTCCCCGCCATCGCCGAGATCTGAGGAGAGCAATGGAAACTCAACTGCACCTTTGAGAAGAATGATCGAATAAAATGTTTTTGTACCTGTCTGTGTGATGCTGTTTGTTATCATGAAGTCAGATATTTAAACAGGTCTGGGTTTTATAATATACGATGAGTATGCCTCTGTTTTAAAGAATGGGAGTCAAACAATAAAGGCATTTTTATAAGACTTTTTGCACAATTTGTTAAACTGAGCGATTACAACAGTCTGCAGAAGTCACTTTTCCACTTGATGGTGAAGAAAACATATCTCTTTTATGTCTGGGTATAAACCAAGCCCCCGGTCTCCAAAATGTCTGCCCCTGGTCTCTCCAAGATGTCTGCCCCTGGTCTCTCCAAGATGTCTGACTCTGGTCTCTCCAAGATGTCTGACTCTGGTCTCTCCAAGATGTCTGCCCTGGTCTCTTCAAGATGTCTGCCCTGGTCTCTCCAAGATGTCTGCCCTGGTCTCTCCAAGATGTCTGCCCTGGTCTCTCCAAGATGTCTGCCTCTGGAAACATACGCAGGCCATCATTCTGATTCCGAAACAGTCGGAGACAGTTAAACTCATAGATGACAGTAACTCGCTCTTCCAGGTCCAGGTCCGGGAGATGCTCCAGGACTTTAAGACCGCCCTGCGCCTCCAGAGCTCCACAGTCCTGGCTCTGCAGGAGGCCAGCGAGGCCCCCCAAGAGGGGGACCATCAGGCACAAGAACATCCAGCTTTAAACTGGAATGTCAGTGTTTTGCTTCATTAAGAGGAGGTTATAGATAGACTGTATTTATTGAGGTTTTCAGGTGTCCCGTAGAAACACATCCAAACAAACAAATCATTAAGTCATTCTTAAAAGTACCGATAGTAATAAAATACAGCAGCAGTTGTTGTTGGCGCCTTCATTAACTCTGAGGAAACCGTTTTAACTTCACAAAACGTTGACTTTAGAAGGATCAGATTGTGATGATTTAAAGCTCTGTAGCTTTGGCCTGAACTCTGAGTCTTTCATGTGAAGACGAGGAGCAGAGAGAGAGATAAAGGCGACCTCCTGAAGGAAAGTCTCACACATCACTGTTTAGGCTGAAAGGAGGACTTTTTTTAAAGAAAGTTAAAACAAAGAATAATTATGATGAAAGAGACAAATAAGTTCATAACAGAAGTCCCTCCATGGTCCCAGCTGCGACGGCACCAAACCAGCCCTCTGCAGGTGAGTAAAGGAAGTGCAAGGGCCTTCATCTCCGCTTGCAGCTTTAATGTTAATGTTACATAATGTTAATATGTCCCTGTGTTGACTTGACCACAGAAAGGCTTCTCAGCTCTACCAGACTCCATAAAGCTGTTCAGAGCTGGGATTCTTGGGTTCCATATGACGTCAGGGCAGTGGAGAATAACAAACGTAGGACAGGACGTGACGTGTCCTGGCGCTGCAGTCTGCCGGGTTTATACACGGAGATATAGTAGAAGAAGAAGCGGTTTATACACGGAGATATAGTAGAAGAAGAAGCATCTTTGTGTGCGGTGTACGTTTATAGCAACCGCACAAATAGAGAGAAAGACCAGAGTTTGTTCATGTTCCAACTGTGGTCTCATATAAAGGAGGACACTTTGAAAAAGTCACTGGAATGAGGCGGAGGTGGATCAAGGCTTTCCTAGATAAGCGCCCCCTGCAGGCCATCCCAATGAAACGCAGACATTTCTTTTGTTATATTTTCCAAAAATGCCCGAAATCAAGACTCTTTTCAGAAATATTTGTTAATACTCCCTTAGAATTGAGTGTCCCCGATTAAGACTGTTCCAACAACCGTACACCGCACAGGAGGAGAGTCTTTGACTCCAAAACAGACTTTATATGGTTTTCAATACATACAGTCTATGGACGTGACTGAAGAGTGTGACGGACCTTTCCCTGAGAGGGGGAGGGGCCTCAGAGACACACAGTTACTTTACAGGAAATAAATATTAAAGCTTTTATATTTAGTTTATTTTGTTTCACGTTGTACAATAATAACATAAATACATTTATTACATCTCATATTGTGTAGAATTATATTATTTCTTGCAGATTGTAACATTTCTTTATGATTCAAGAGTCCTCCACAGTCTTTCAGTGGGAATATAAAAAATGACATGTTTCCGCCCGGTTTCGAACCGGGGACCTTTCGCGTGTGAGGCGAACGTGATAACCACTACACTACGGAAACTGTGTGATGACGTCAGTGAGTTTGTGATTTGAAGTCTTAGAGAAAATGTGACAAACTCCAATAATCACCATTGCACCCTGTGGATTACCCTGTGGTTTACCCTGTGGATTACATGTGGATTACCCTGTGGTTTACCCTGTGGATTACATGTGGATTACCCTGTGGTTTACCCTGTGGATTACATGTGGATTATCCTGTGGTTTACCCTGTGGATTACATGTGGATTACCCTGTGGTTTACCCTGTGGATTACATGTGGATTACCCTGTGGTTTAGAATCAGAATCAGAATCATTTTTATTGCCACGTAAGTAACAGGAGGTCACAGACTTGGAAATTGCTTTGGCTCAGTGCAACAGTTAAAAAGAGATAATAAAAATAAGAATAAAAAACACTTCTAAAGAATAAATTTAAATTTAAAATAGAGGTACAGTTACTATTTACAATATACAAGTGCACATGGTGCACACAATGTAAGGTGACAGCAGTACAGTGAAGTAAAGTGACGTATGATGGGCAGTAAAGTGACTTTATAAAGGGCGGGGGGACAGGTTAAGAAGTGTTCAAGAGTCCAACAGCAGAGGGGAAGAAACTGCTCTTGTGGCGGGAGGTTCTAGTCCTGATGGACCGCAGCCTCCTGCCTGAGGGGAGTGGTTGGAATAGTCCATGTGCAGGTGAGAGGGGAGTGGTTGGAATAGTCCATGTGCAGGTGAGAGGGGAGTGGTTGGAATAGTCCATGTGCAGGTGAGAGGGGAGTGGTTGGAATAGTCCATGTGCAGGTGAGAGGGGAGTGGTTGGAACAGTCCATGTGCAGGTGAGAGGGGAGTGGTTGGAATAGTCCATGTGCAGGGTGAGAGGGGTCGGCTGTGATACGACCAGCCCGGCCTCGAGCTCGGGCGACGTACAGGTCCTGCAGCGATGGAAGGCTGCGGCCGATCACTTCCTCTGCAGAGACCACAATGCACTGTAGTCTCTGTTTGTCCCTGACTGTGGCTCCAGCGAACCACACGGTGATGGAGGAGGTGATGGAGGAGGTGATGAGGAGGTGATGGAGGAGGTGATGGAGGAGGTGATGAGGAGGTGATGGAGGAGGTGATGGAGGAGGTGATGGAGGAGGTGATGGAGGAGGTGATGGAGGAGGTGATGGAGGAGGTGCTGGAGGAGGTCAACATCTGTGCAGGCAGCTTGGCTTTCCTGAGCTGCCGCAGGAAGTACATCCTCTGCTGGGCCTTCTTGATGAGGGAGCTGATGGTCGGCTCCCACTTGAGGTCCTGGGTGATGGTGGTGCCCAGGAAACGGAAGGACTCCACAGAGGTGATGGGGGAGTCCATCACGGAGGGTGGGGGCGGGGGGACAGTGCTCTTCCTGAAGTCCACAATCATCTCCACTGTCTTCTGGGCGTTCAGCTCCAGGTTGTTACCACTGCACCAGGACACCAGCCGGTCCACCTCCCTCCTGTAGGAGACACCAGGACACCAGCCGGTCCACCTCCTCCTGTAGGAGACACCAGGACACCAGCCGGTCCACCTCCCTCCTGTAGGAGACACCAGGACACCAGCCGGTCCACCTCCTCCTGTAGGAGACACCAGGACACCAGCCGGTCCACCTCCCTCCTGTAGGAGACACCAGGACACCAGCCGGTCCACCTCCCTCCTGTAGGAGACACCAGGACACCAGCCGGTCCACCTCCCTCCTGTAGGAGACACCAGGACACCAGCCGGTCCACCTCCCTCCTGTAGGAGACACCAGGACACCAGCCGGTCCACCTCCCTCCTGTAGGAGACACCAGGACACCAGCCGGTCCACCTCCCTCCTGTAGGAGACACCAGGACACCAGCCGGTCCACCTCCCTCCTGTAGGAGACACCAGGACACCAGCCGGTCCACCTCCCTCCTGTAGGAGACACCAGGACACCAGCCGGTCCACCTCCCTCCTGTAGGAGACACCAGGACACCAGGACACCTGAACAAAACTGTCTAAAATACTGAAACATGAACACAAACATTCCCTTTAATAAATGAATTTAGCCCAAAACAAAAAACATTTGTTCAAACATGAGGAAGAGTCTGGTCTGAGTCAGCGCCGGTTTAGATCCACCTCCTCTCTCTGGAGGAGGTGATGTGGATCTCTCTGGAGGAGGTGATGGTGGCTCTCTCTGGAGGAGGTGATGGAGGATCTCTCTGGAGGAGGTGATGGAGGATCTCTCTGGAGGAGGTGATGGAGGATCTCTCTAGAGGAGGTGATGGAGGATCTCTCTGGAGGTGATGGTGGATCTCTCTGGAGGAGGTGATGGAGGATCTCTCTGGAGGAGGTGATGGAGGATCTCTCTGGAGGAGGTGATGGAGGATCTCTCTAGAGGAGGTGATGGAGGATCTCTCTGGAGGAGGTGATGGAGGATCTCTCTGGAGGAGGTGATGAAGGATCTCTCTGGAGGAGGTGATGGAGGATCTCTCTAGAGGAGGTGATGGAGGATCTCTCTGGAGGAGGTGATGGAGGATCTCTCTGGAGGAGGTGATGGAGGATCTCTCTGGAGGAGGTGATGAAGGATCTCTCTAGAGGAGGTGATGGAGGATCTCTCTGGAGGAGGTGATGGAGGATCTCTCTAGAGGAGGTGATGGAGGATCTCTCTAGAGGAGGTGATGGAGGATCTCTCTGGAGGAGGTGATGGAGGATCTCTCTAGAGGAGGTGATGGAGGATCTCTCTAGAGGAGGTGATGGAGGATCTCTCTAGAGGAGGTGATGGAGGATCTCTCTAGAGGAGGTGATGGAGGATCTCTCTAGAGGAGGTGATGGAGGATTTCTCTAGAGGAGGTGATGGAGGATCTCTCTGGAGGAGGTGATGGAGGATCTCTCTAGAGGAGGTGATGGAGGATCTCTCTAGAGGAGGTGATGGAGGATCTCTCTGGAGGAGGTGATGGAGGATCTCTCTGGAGGAGGTGATGGAGGATCTCTCTGGAGGAGGTGATGGAGGATCTCTCTGGAGGAGGTGATGGAGGATCTCTCCATGATTGTTGATTGTTCTGAGAGTGAGAGTGACGTCAGAGGCTCGTTGTTGTGACATGTTTCAGCCACAAGATGGCGACATAATCCTGTCCACTTCTGCTCCTTTAAATGATTCATCATCTGAACTTTTTACATTTCCATGAATCACATCTTTACAATATTAACAAGAACCATGAGGCTGTGTCTATACAGCTGTGTCTATACAGCTGTGTCTATACAGAGTCTATACAGCTGTGTCTATACAGCTGTGTCTATACAGCTGCCTGTGTCTGTTTCCACTAAAACCCAAAGTGAATGGATGGAGTTGATTGGAGGATGTGGTGTGTGTGACATCACCGTATGGAGAGAATGCGGAACTATATCTGAACAGTGTAAAGTGCTTTGGGTTAGGCCGGGATCCGTAAACATGTGCTAAATAAATAAACATGAGTAAGGATGAATTCTCTGGTCTTTATAACTTACTTACTCTGTAATAATAATAATAACAACAACAACAACAACAAAAATAACAACAACAACAACAACAATAATAATAATAATATAATAATAACAATAATAATAATAATAATATAACAATAATAATAATAATAATAATAATAATAATACTATAATAATAATAATAATAATAATAATAATAATAAAACATTAGTTTTATACAGAGCTTTTCAGGACAATAAAAGTCTCTTCACATCATTATTCTTCCTCCAAACGCGCTGCTGATAAACTACTGCAGCCACAGCTGCCCTGGGGCACACTGACAGCAGCCACATCTAAAACATCTGTTCTCTGTCTCTGTTCTGAATGTGGTGGAAACAAAAGGAAAAGGACAAAGTTCAGGCGAAAGTAAAGAATCCTGTGTTTTCTGTGCAGCGGCAGCAGCTGAGGCTCAAACCTCAGATATTTATGTTTACGACGGAATCTGAGCCCGAGGAGGGTCCATGAGTCAGATTCAGATTCAGATTCATTTATTTCGCCATTTGCAGTAACACTACATTGGAATACATTTGTAAAAGTTCCCAGTGTGCACAGGACAAGTACAGACACAAAACAACATTAAAAGACAAAAATAAAACAAATTTTAAAAACAGTAAACAAATGTCACTGTGAAGTTGACCAACTAAAACAGATCTGTACAAGTGCAAAATCATTAAAGTGCTCTATTCAAACTGATAACAGCTCGTGGAAAAAAACTATTAGCATAACGAGATGTCCTGCATCTCAGAGAACAGTATCTTCTGCCAGAGGGAAGAAGCTGGAACAAGGCTTTCCCAGGGTGGCCAGAAGAGTCATTAACAATCCTAAGAGCACTGTTTAAAAGTCTGGATTTATAAAGAGCCTCCAGAACAGGAAGCTCACAGCCCACGGTCCTCTTAGCAGAGCGGAGCACCTTGTTTAAAGCTCTCTTTTCTTTATCTGTGATGTTTCCAAACCACACAGACACAGAACCAACAAGTAAACTCTCAATGGTGCAGCGATAAAAGTTAAGCACAATCTTAGAGTTAGTGGTAAATTCTCTAAGTTTCCGCAGGAAGTAGAGACGCTGACGAGCTTTCTTAACGACTCGGTCAGTGTTTTTAACCCATTTCAGGTTAGACAGAGTTAAACCCAGAAACTTGCTCCTCTACGATCTGCACCTGGGAGTTGTCGATTGCGACAGGCAAATGAGAACTATTGCGACTGAAATCAAAGACCAGTTCACATGTTTTGGATGCGTTCAACTGGAGGTTGTTAGCCTTACTCCACTGAACCACGTTTTGTATCTCTGCTCTATAAGAGGATTCATCAGTGTCACTGATGAGACCGATGATGGTGGTGTCATCAGCATATTTGATGATCAGGTTAGAGTCTGAGGAGGACACACAATCATGAGTGTACAGTGTCAAAGGCCTGTATAGATTCCAGCTGTCACATAAACAGCGCCACCCACTGGTCACGCTGCTCCACTGCACCCAGCCCCACAGTCACTGTTATCTTCATGTTTTATCACTAATATGTTTATTAGTTTTATCACAGCTCCGAAGGTTTTAAGTCTCGTCTTTAAACGCTTTGTTTCTCTCGGGTTTTAGCGCCGTGAGTTCTGTGGTCCTCTCTTTTATATGTTTTATTCATTTTATTGGTTTTACTTTTATTTTAAATTGTCTAACCCACAATGAATGGAATCGTTTAGAAGCGTTGCTAACCACTTCCGACAATGTTGTGTCGTGTCCTAGCTCATTTTAAATAGTTGTAGAGTTTAAAAGTGTTTTAAAAGTACAAAAAACAGTAGTACTGATTGATACTTGTAAAATGTTTAAAGCCGGGGTACCTAACTTTTCCCCCACATGATTAATACATGTTTTACGTCCCTTGTTTATTTTCTAAAGGTTCTGGTTCTTGACGTCCAAGTTTTCCACTAAAGAGAGACCGTGTTACCATAGCAAAACTCTGTTTACTTGACAACAGCTAGCATAGCCTCTCAATAAACTTTTTTTTTTCCTGTATTTCAAGTCTTTGTGCTTTTTAGACATTTAAAAAACCTATGAATTGCTTGATTTTGAAAAGTGGATAAACCAAAACTGTTAGTTATTTTTATTATTCAGAATCAGAATCAGAATCATTTTTATTGCCACGTGAGTAACAAACTTACCACGTGGAAATTGTCTTGGCAGAGAGCGTGCCACTTCGCCATTTGCGGCGCTGTGTGCAGCAAGAAACAGCAGAGAGCAATAACATACAGTTCACATACAATTGGATAGACACATTGTGCTTTTTATAAACCACGGATTTTTTTCTCGGGATGAGCACCTCCGGCGGCCGGCCCAATGTAGCTGTCAGAGGGGGGCGGGATCAGGGAGGGGGTGAGTAGGAAAACAATAAGGAATGGAGGGGAGGGAGGGAGCAAGAGGGATAGGTAGAGGGAGGCGGGGGTGAGGGATCCAAGCTGGAGACTGAAAGAGTGTGAGTTGTTGTAGATTGTGGGACCTTGTTTATGGCCTTGGTCGAGGAATGTGAGATAAGAGTGGAGAGAAGACACAGCAGGAGAAAAACACATCACCTGAGAGGGACAATATTATATGCAATGTAGCATCAAAAGCAGGCAGATATTCTATTAATTCCAATTAAACCGAATTGCGGCGCCCTCAGACCTCCGTACACAGGGGCAAATCCAAGCCGGGTCAGAGAGTTCAAGCCTGACAAACAATGTCATTCAATCTCAGCTCCAGAGTTTTATTCCCTTCGAGTGAACGAGCTGCGAGATCTTTGATCAACTGTTCCACCAAAACCACTCTTCTTTGTCCAGACACGGCACTCTCAACCACGACGCGGCTTAGCTCCTTGTACATCCCATCAATTTTGTCGGCCAGCAGGTCGTGAATCTTACGAACTGCCATGCCACCGAATTTGTGGTAGAAGAGGATCGCTTTAAACCCAAACAGGAGGATTCCCACCACCAAAATGCCAAAGATATATACGTCTTCCGAATCTTCAATAGACAGGGTTGTTCAAGAGTATACCCCGCCGGTGAAGTCCCGTCCGGGCACACGGGCTCTCCAGACCCACGCTTACGTGTTGAAAAGATAGAATCAATTGCGTTGAGGGACCAGTTAATCATTTCCATTCTGTTAAAGTTGTCTGTGGCAAAACTCCAGGAAAAAAGACAAAAACAGGAGATAGCAAGCAGTCAGAAGCAGGAGCGGACTAAGACACGTCTTTGCTCGACGGAGGAGGAAGAAGAAAGCAGGAGAATTATTATTATCATTGTTATTATTATTATTATTATTATTATTAATTTTATTATTATTATTATTATCATTATTATTATTAATTTTATTTTTATTATTATTGTTATTATTATTGTTATTATTATTGTTATTATTATTATTATTGTTGTTGTTATTGTTATTATTGTATTATTATTGTTATTATTGTTATTATTATTTTTATTTTTATTGTTATTATTATTATTTTTTTTTTTTTTTTATTGTTATTATTATTATTATTGTTATTGTTATTTTTATTATTATTTTTTTTATTGTTATTATTATTATTATTATTATTACTATTCATGCTCTGGGAGTCCTCGTGTTATTGAGTGATTCATTTATTTTGTGGTTTGAAAGTCGAGTACCCCAGCTTTAGTTCCCGGTGAAAACACGTGGTGCTGATGTCGAGGATCCGTGTGAAAGAGGAGCCCCCGGTTTACGGTCCCAGCTCTCAGGAATGTCCGCGCTTCGTTTTCCGCGGGACCTGGACTTTTATTGCTGGTATTACTGCTGCTGGTTTTACTGCCGCTGGTTTTACTGCCTCTGGTATCACTGACGCTGTACGTAACGAGTGGGAGCGCGAGGAGGGAGACTTCACCGGAGACATCACCGGAGACATCAGCGGAGACATCAGCGGAGACTTCACCGGAGACGACTGATGCACAAGGACAGAGAAAGGTAAGCACCTGTCAGCCTGTACAATGAACACACTGCTGCTCGTGCACGTGTAGCATCGTGCACTACTACGTCATCACCACTCGCTGTTTATCATGACGCGCTGCGCAGAAGCCAAAGTCATAACTGTGACGTAGACCGACGTTTAATCTTTTATTTCAAATTTCTAAAGTTACAAATGGCGTGGTGTGTTGTGGGCTTGTCTGTCACTGCAGACTATGGTCCGACTGAGTCTGAAGAGTTTGTTTTGGTGCATAATCATAACGGTGTCAAAAATAAGAAATAAAAAGGTTATTTCTACAGCACCTTTCACAGACTGTCCATTAGTCTCTGACGTCACAGATGGAGCAGGTCACAGGAGGTCACAGGAGGCACATGTCAGAACTACACACGTTTTTAGAGGGAGGGGAAACCGGAGCACCAGGAGGAAACCTGCACAGACATGGGGAGAACATGCAAACTCCACTCAGAAAGGTCTGAAGGTGGAATTGTTTACTGAGGATTTGAAATGTTCCAACTTTCTTTGTGATGTACTGTGACTGTTTTGGATTTGAATTACATCTTGTTTAGTTCGTATTTGCATGCTGAAGCCAGACCTCTCAGACCTCTGAAGCTAAGCAGGACAGGGCCTGGTTAGTGCTGTGATGGGAGACCTCTGAACAGCAGGTGCCACAGTGGGGTGGCTGCGGCTGTAAAGCGCCAAACTGTGATTGTGTCCTTAGGCAAGACACTTCCCCCACATTAGAATGAGTCTGGTGTGTGTGTGTGGTTGGTGGTGGTGGGAGGGGCTTCTGTCAGTGTGTCCCAGGGCAGCTGTGGCTACAGTAGAAGTTTATCATCCCTGTGTCATGGTAAAGAATCTTCCATGACACTAAGACACCAAGAATCTATATGATATGATATATATATATATATATAATATATATATATATATATATATATATAATCATATTAGTCCATGTGCAGGTGAGAAGGATATCAGATAAAGTAATGATCCTCTTATACAACTCATGCTTTCCAGACGTATGTTGTAGACCCAGGACTGAGGCTGTAGACCCAGGACTGAGGCTGTAGACCCGGGACTGAGGCTGTAGATAGGCCTGTCACGATAACAAATTTTGCTGGACGATTAATTGTCTCAGAAATTATTGCGATAAGCGATTATATTGTCGTTCTGAGATCATTTGCATCGATTAGAATGATAATGCAGGTACACCTTTTCAAAGAGAATAAACTTTTATTTTTAACGAATATTTAACGCTAGAACACAATAAATTAACAAACAACCAAAAACAATAAATAACATCGACTCAGTCTCTTAACAAAAAATGACCAGGAATAAAACTGCCAGGACCTTTGTAAAGAAAATATGAAACAGATGCCTCAAATGTCAATAATTTCTCAGACTTTATGACAGATTACAAGAAAGAAATACCAACATGTTGACTTTGTGTGGCTTAAGACAGGATCTCTCAGGAGTAGTCCCACCTCCCCACACACCAGGCGAATGACAAGTGACTGACATGTGGATTCACCAATGGGGCGTACAGAAGTCCTGCTGCGGTAGCGCCCACCGGAAGTAGCGGGGCGGGCTTTGATGCTAACAGCTAAGCTATCGGGTTTTTTGTGTAAAGTTCTACTCCAAGAATGCAAGTCTGCAGCATCTCTGTGTTCAGAGACCTTCTAGAGACTTTATATAACAGCAGTATGTGTTCACGGAGGTGCGCCATAAGTTTATTTTATTGGTACGGTACGGTACTTCTGCATCGGCGAACACGCTAACGCTAGCTGCGCTAGTATAGTCACTAATCAAGCCTGAATGAGAACTCAGCTGCCGGCATATGTTCACAACTACTGTGTCCCCCATTGTCAATCCTGGTTAAGTCCTGGTTTAGGTCCTGTTTTGGCTGTATTTTGTATTTTTGAGTAATTTCCGTCTGCTTGCTAGACCGCTAATGTTCCCGTGGCCACTTTGCGGCTCTCTGACCCGAGAGAGACGGGGGAAACAAACAAGCATGCAAATGGGATTTATCGCGGCCAGAAAAGTTATTGAGCAAATTTTATTTATCGTGCGATTAATTGATTTATTGACTATCGCGACAGGCCTAGCTGTAGACCCGAGACTGAGGCTGCAGACCCAGGACTGAGGCTGTAGACCCAGGACTGAGGCTGCAGACCCAGGACTGAGACTGTAGACCCAGGACTGAGGCTGTAGACCCAGGACTGAGGCTGTAGACCCAGGACTGAGGCTGTAGACCAGGACTCAGGCTGAAAACCCAACACATGTTCAAGCCCAACATGGTGAGTGTGACAGTTACCCTCAGAGACCTCTAGACCAACGTGAGAAACTTCCCCCATGAGCACTTCGCCTGTGCAGCTGTAGCAGGTTAGCGCCCTCCTTAATGAAGAATTGAACTTGAACTGGAGTTATGTGTGTTGCGTGACTGTGTTTAAGTGTTCAAGTCCAAAGGAGAAGCTTCCGGAAATACTCCCAAAATAAATGGGTCAAGAGGTCTCCATATGATCCTCGGACAATGTTCAGGCGTGTTGCGTCTCACATGACGCTCGCAGCAGGAGGCAGCCCCCGCACTCTCAGTCGCACTGAGGAACACGCCAGTGCAATGGATTCAACCACAAAACACTAGAAAATAATTCTGCTCAAATTAGGAATGCACCGATATCACTTTTATCAAAGCCATATATGAACAGGGACTTATACTGCCAGCAGTTTCTGATGATTTTTATTGAATTTTCAAGACCCACAGGATATTGTGTACTATGACTATCTGAAATCCAAAACCAGATTCTGAAAGAATGGACTGTTTTCTTTCATCGGCAAAAATAATGTTGTTTCTAACTTGTTTTGTTCCCCTGTAATCCTCAGTCGAGTAGAGCAAAGTTTTACTGAAATCACCGTCTCAGACAAAAAGCTGTAACCTTGCCTGCAAGCTGAATTCTCGCGGTATTTGTGAGTTCACAAACACTCGAGAATACATCTTGTACCGCTCCCGCTTACACTTTTCGAGTCGAACCACTGGGTGTGCGAGCCAATCACGCGCCAGTCTGGGGGTTTAGGGCGGGATATCCGGGTTTGACGAAAGCAAGAAGTGCCGGGCCGAAGCAAAACAAACATGGCTACGCAGGAGGACGGACGCAAAGTCAGTTTTAGCAGAATCTCCAATTTCTTTTTTGAAAGATGAACAGCGAGAGGCGCTTTTTACATTTCTGGACGGCAACCTTGGTAGGCGGGCACACAGCGTCACTTCGCCCAATCAGCTTCAAGTATTCTGCTGCTTACCCCTCCTTTCCCCGAAAGGATTCTCCGGGAGAAATCCCAGATTGATATCGCGGAGAACGCGTTAGAGTTCTACACAATCATCAATCTGGCTCTTGCCAGGTTAAAAAAGCTGCCTCCTGTTTTCAAACCCAGAGAGCTCTGCTGCCCCCTGCTGGCTCCATAACATATGGTCTAAAGCTAATCCCTGAACATGTTAGATTTAACATCTGGAACATGTTTGATTTAACATCTGGAACATGTTAGATTTAACATCTGGAACATGTTAGATTTAACATCTGGGAACATGTTAGATTTAACATCTGGGAACATGTTAGATTTAACATCTGGGAACATGTTAGATTTAACATCTGGGAACATGTTAGATTTAACATCTGGGAACATGTTAGATTTAACATCTGGGAACATGTTAGATTTAACATCTGGAACATGTTAGATTTAACATCTGGGAACATGTTAGATTTAACATCTGGGAACATGTTAGATTTAACATCTGGGAACATGTTAGATTTAACATCTGGGAACATGTTAGATTTAACATCTGGGAACATGTTAGATTTAACATCTGGGAACATGTTAGATTTAACATCTGGGAACATGTTAGATTTAACATCTGGGAACATGTTAGATTTAACATCTGGGAACATGTTAGATTTAACATCTGGGAACATGTTAGATTTAACATCTGGGAACATGTTAGATTTAACATCTGGGAACATGTTAGATTTAACATCTGGGAACATGTTAGATTTAACATCTGGGAACATGTTAGATTTAACATCTGGGAACATGTTAGATTTAACATCTGGGAACATGTTAGATTTAACATCTGGGAACATGTTAGATTTAACATCTGGGAACATGTTAGATTTAACATCTGGAACATGTTAGATTTAACATCTGGAACATGTTAGATTTAACATCTGGGAACATGTTAGATTTAACATCTGGGAACATGTTAGATTTAACATCTGGGAACATGTTAGATTTAACATCTGGAACATGTTAGATTTAACATCTGGGAACATGTTAGATTTAACATCTGGGAACATGTTAGATTTAACATCTGGGAACATGTTAGATTTAACATCTGGGAACATGTTAGATTTAACATCTGGAACATGTTAGATTTAACATCTGGGAACATGTTAGATTTAACATCTGGAACATGTTAGATTTAACATCTGGGAACATGTTAGATTTAACATCTGGGAACATGTTAGATTTAACATCTGGGAACATGTTAGATTTAACATCTGGGAACATGTTAGATTTAACATCTGGGAACATGTTAGATTTAACATCTGGGAACATGTTAGATTTAACATCTGGAACATGTTAGATTTAACATCTGGGAACATGTTAGATTTAACATCTGGGAACATGTTAGATTTAACATCTGGGAACATGTTAGATTTAACATCTGGGAACATGTTAGATTTAACATCTGGGAACATGTTAGATTTAACATCTGGGAACATGTTAGATTTAACATCTGGGAACATGTTAGATTTAACATCTGGGAACATGTTAGATTTAACATCTGGGAACATGTTAGATTTAACATCTGGGAACATGTTAGATTTAACATCTGGGAACATGTTAGATTTAACATCTGGGAACATGTTAGATTTAACATCTGGGAACATGTTAGATTTAACATCTGGAACATGTTAGATTTAACATCTG